ATTGGTCTGGATTAAGGTTCATGCTTCTGGGGTCTAGGATATTTTGAGGGTTCAGGGTCTAGGGTTGGGGTTTAGCAATGATTGGTCTTGATTAGGGTTTATGCTTATGGGGTCTAGGACTTTGGGGTTTAGTGCTTAGGGGGTTAAGGTCCGAGGGGTTGGGACCCTTTAGGTGCTCGGGTTTGCAGCTTCGCGTCTCAATTGGGGCACATCCAGCTCAATTACAGCCCTCCCTAAACCCCTAAGCCCTAAACCCTAGACCCTAAACCCTGAACCCCAATCCGTAGACCTCAACCCTAAACCGGAACGGGCTGATTCGGAACGCTCCAGGTCTTTGGTGGGCTAGCAATGCAGACAAACACACAGACAAAGACAGAAACGTATCCTCACACATGTTTATTGAACGGTTCCCTCAGGGTCCAAGCAGTCCTTATTTAGGGTTTTAGGTACCCAAAAAGGCCCCAAAGTCCTTAAATAATGGGTACTTGGACCCTTAGGGGTTTTTGTAATGTAGACTATTGTATTAGATTGTACCAGTAAGGGCCGCTGAAGTGAGACACTCTGGCATGATCGGCCACCGGGGCAAAGAACAATGCCCTATATTAACTTAGGAGCCCAATAGGTAAACTTTCAACTTTTTTGGTATATTAAACCCCTACGAAAAGAAAAGTTTAAACTTTTTTGGGCCAGGGTATTGGGCTTAAAGGTTAATTGCCCCCCCCCCCCAATGTCTAACCCCTGTGTTGGATTGATGTCTGGAGGTCGGCGTGAGGTGTGGAATTGTCTGTCGCAGGGTTGTGAGCAAGCAGTCACCATCATTTCGTAGAGAAATAAGGTAAAGGTTTTGGTATAGTCTGGCTTATAATCATACCATGACCTGCAGTGGTATACAGTACTATTCCTACTTGTTTAGGAATTTAGACAAATACTTCACCACTAACAGTGGCCGCATACCGTAGTTGTACCTACATTCAGGTCCCTGTATATGCTTTGTTTTAGTTTACCATAGCTACCGCGCGTGCTCCCAAGCCAAGAAATATTCGGCAGAATCATCGACATAATGATGTTGATATGTGTAGCACTGGTCATTCCAATGCTCGTGACTACTGGTTGGGTGGGGTTCGCTTCGGAGAGTCCTGACCGTCCTATGAACAGGGTTTAGGATTCACAGCCGTCTACGCCTCAGGCCCAACAATGAGGTTGAAGGTTTTATCAGACCAAACCCTTAACCTTTGAACCCCGAACCCTAAGCCTTACACCCTGAGCCCAAAACCCTGAGCCCTAAACCCTGAACTCTAAACCCAAAGCCCTGAACCCTGATCCCTTTTAACCCTAAACCCCTAAACCTTAAGCTGGCGGCGCCGCACAAGGCCTGCCGACGAGAAGACTGAGGTGCCTCCTCGCCATCGCGGATCATGCGCGCTCGGCATGATCCTGTGCCAGTCTTCTAGGTGGAGATCTTCACACCGAAGATCCAGTTAGTCGCACTTGGAGGTTCGTTGGTAGCTGTTAGCGGAGCTATGCGTCCCCTAATATGGGTTATAACTATAGCTGTCTTACTTAAAAAACTCCACTTGTATCTACCCATGAACCTCCAAGCAGGGGCGACCTCGCGAGTAGCACCGCACCTGCAGCTCGACACAGTCTGACTCTAAACCCTAAACCCTAAATCCTAAAACCCTAAACCCCTAAACCGACTGCCCTTCAAAACAAAGATGTGCGATCCACGACCCTCAACCTGCTGTGCAGGGCTCAGAAGTTCTGTAGTTCGACTGTTGGGCTTTAGGGTTTAGGGTTTAGGGTTTGGGGTTTAGGGTTTAGGGTTTGTAATCTCAGTCTTACTTAGGGCTTACCTGTTCATCATAAATCAGGATCTTCAAAAAGGTAGGTTTCTTAGGGTCCAGGTAGGCTCGCCCGTGTTCCTCGCCACCTGGCTTCATACCTTGGCCAGGGACGGTTTAGGGTTCCGGGTTTGTTTTTATTTGGGTTGTTTGGCTTATAAGTTTAGTAACGGAGAGTGTTTTCGGGCTGATGCTTTGCCGAGGTCAAGGTGACGGCCGGACGAATCATCCCTGCCTTGGCTATGGCCTCGGCAGACAGGTTTAATGTAGGAGCCTCATTAATTGGAATGGGGTTTTGGGGGTTCCTTATTATAATTATAGTATAATGGGCCCCAAAACCCTATTCTATTTATTTAGGCCCCTATATCAGGGTGTAAGCTGCAGGCTTTGATTGTTAAGATGCTTGTACCAGTCAGCTGCGAGCTTGGTCTTAGAAGTAATGGTAATTTGAGTCAGCAATTGCAGGGTTTAGGGTTTAGGGTTTAGGGTTTATAGGACCCTAAACCCTAAACCCTAAACCCTAAACCCTCCCTAAACCGTAAACCCTAAACCCTAAGTTCTGGGTTTTGGGTTTAGGGCCCTGGGTCGGAAACCTGCAGCTTGAGCTTGAGCCGCCCAAAAAATCTCTAGCAGTGCTGGCTACAGACCCGCTTCTAATCCCCAGCCCACAGCTCGGAGTCCTCCCTAAACCCTAAACCCTAAACCCTAAACCCTAAACCCTGAACCCTAAACCCTAAACCCTAAACCCTAAACCGTGCCCTAACTTCGGAGGCGACCACGACTGCCATGATCTGCGGGCTGGTTGACATGGAGTTCCTCAAGATTGTTCTCGGGACCGGCGACAGATCTTCGGGCGACGTTTTAGGAGTCCCATAATCTGCACTTCAGCCTCATAGCATCACATAGAAACCTTGAATCCAGCACCCCCAGCTCTGCACACATTGCCTTGTAGCGCGGGGCCGCAGTTCTGAGGGGCATGGGGGTTGGCTGCGGTTGCCAAGTTGCTTAGTGGTACCTTGTTCCCACAACGTGCCACAACAAAGCCAGCATAAGACACGGAAAAGCCAGAAAATAAAATACAAGTCACCTTTCGTCGCGAGGATGCACCGAGAGGAAGGAGCTTTGGACAAGTTCTACAATGCGAATGTGAACCTGGCGACGGGCCTCCAGGCAGTGGAGTGTGTGTTTAAGTCGAGGAGCCGAGGAGTTTAGGAAGGTTCAGTTTTTGTTGGGGTTTAGGGTTTGGGGTTGAGGGTTTAGGGGATTTAGGGGGTTTAGGGTTTTGCAGCTTCGGGGTTCAATCTAAGGACTTTAGGAGGGACCCCTAATCGGGACCCTTAATCCCATTACATTAAATAATCATTGTAGATTCCTACATACCCCTTATATAGCCAGGTAGTCTCCATATTAACCCCAATAACCTACAAGGGTCCCTATTAGGGGTCCCTCCTAAAGCCCTTAGATTCAAGGATTTCAGGCAGTTCGGTGCTATCGATGCTAGGGCCAGGGGAAAGGGAAGTACTTCTACAGTACAGTCTTCGCGTAAAGCGCTCATCAGCGCATTGTTGGGTAGACCCAATCTCCACAGCATAGCACCATCTAAGCACCTCAATCCCCGGTGCTGTCACCTTGTAGATTGTAGACTTACTTGGAGGTTCATGGTTAGTTATCAGCAGGGTTATAAGTCCTTTATTATGGGCTATAACTGGAGTTACCCTAATTATATGCGGCCTTGAAACTACCCATAAACCTTCAAGTATAGAATCCTTACAGCCCTTAACCCTCGTTAGGTGTTCAACCGGGTCTCCCAGTTTGCCCTTTTTCCCTTTGAGGTCTTCGGTTCCTTACTACCAAAAAGGGAGCCCTTTTTAGTCTTGGGTTACTAATAAGCATCCTCGAACCACAACCCTAAACCCTAACCTCGAAGCCCTAGACCCTAAACCCTAGGCCCTCAACCCTAAACCCTAACCTCTAAGCCCTCAGCCCTTATCCCTAACCACTAAAACCTAAACCCTGAACCCTAAACCCTAAACCCGAACCCCTAAACCCTAGACCCTAAACCCTAAACTCCCGATGAACCCTAAATTCCACCAAAAAAGCAGGCGATGAACGTGTTCCGACCGGAGTGCGGCTCTCTGTCGGATCGATTCTTTAACTGGGCTTTGGAGTACCGTGCTTTAATCCTTTTTTGGGATGTTTCCCAAAGGAACCATTATGAAATAAAAGCCTATACTTGTTTTCTCCCTGGTTACTTTAACGCCCAGTTAAAACGTAGGGCTTAGGGATCTCTGCACACCGAAATCCAAGGAAAGCGGGCAAAAATCCTCTGGGTTCCCTACATAGTCTCCTAGGAGTTCCTTATTATGCTTGCAAATATTTGTAGCAAAGCTTAGGGTCTAGGGTTTAGGGGTTTAGGGCTTAGGACAAATAGTGGGCCCTTCCCCTTTTTTAAGTCTTAAGCTCCTTCTGAAGGTCTGCAATACCAACCAGGGAGCCTTTGTCGGGCATTCTAGTACAACATACGTACGCCCAAAGCCCGTTCAATTCATTAAGGGCCCCGCAGCATTAAGCGTTATTATATTGTCGATGAATCCCCGACAGCTTCTGTGTTCATGGGATGTGGCAGTAGCCTTACCCCTCCCAACACCCATCATTATTTTCGGCGCTTGTATTGGAGCTTTGTCTTAAGTGTCGGGGAGTAGGGCTGTAGGTGATTGGTGATTTCCAGGTCTTTGGATGTTTGGTTCAACTAATGGAATTGTCTCTTCTATTTATCGTACAGATGGCTGACCTATGTTTCATCAGCTCTCTCTCGTATTGTGCTGATAAGGTGTGCAAAGGGTGCAACCTTCGAGCCTTGAGTCAAGTATTTGTTCTTGTACTTCCATCTCCAGTACGTCTACATAACCCTTCTATAGTAGGGGAATATACGTTAGCTCCAGCTTTAGATCGCGACAAGAGTCGCCCATGATGGAAGAGAACTATAGTCTTCTTGCCCATGGTGTTGGTCGCTCTGAGCGCAGCATAATCGAACAGGCATACTTGCACAATGTCTTAACTCAGGCCTATACCCCGAACCGTAAACCACCAGCTGGATTTTTCTCGCTTTCTCCGTTCTAAGCTTCCTACGACCCCTGACACGGAAACCTATAGACCCCAAACCGTTCGTTGACAGTGCCCGCCCCTGATAGCAAGGCCGGCCATCGTTCGAAAGACGGAGCTGCCAGCACTGGACCCAGTCTTCTACTATACGGGCCGTGCTAGCCAGAATGAGTATACTACCCTAAACCCTAAACCCTAAACCCTAAACCCTAAACTAAACTACACATATTTGCAAACATAAGGAACTCCTAGGAATCTAAGCCCTCGGTCCTGAACCCCTAAATCCCCTATAGACCCTAAGCCTAAAGCTTTAGCAACCTTTGAGGCTCCTAATTTAGCAGGGCCCGTCTGCCACGACTCAGCGCTCGATGATCACAGCTGCATCGCTTCTCTTTTTTCTGAGTTCAGGTCTTCGGGTTGCGGGGTTTAGGGTTTTGGGTTGAGGGTTCAGGGGTTTAGGGTTTTGGGTCGAGGGTTCAAGGTCTTGCTGCGGCAGGAAGCATCGCATACCCCTAAACCCTAAACCCTAAACCGTCTTCATCAAGTTCCTAAGTCTGAGCCAAAGCGCTGAACCCTAATCCCTATTTAGGGTTTAGGTTTTAGGGTCCTAAACCCTAGACCCTACACCCTAAACCCTAACCCCACAAGGGTTCGCGTGCAGCATACACGTTGCTTGGGGCTTAGACGGGGTTCCTGTAAATTGAAGGTACTGCATGGTGTCGAGACCCTAAACCCTAAACCCTAAACCCTAAACCTAAAACCCGCTGAGGAAAAGGGCCTAAAAAAAAGAAAACCCACACCCTAAACCTAAAACCTAAACCCTGAACCTACAACCTAATCACTAAATCCTAAGATTCGTCAAACCAAGCCCTGAGGTTCACTGCAAGAAAAGTAGAACCCCAAACCCTAAGCCCTAGACCATGTATAAACTCTAGATCCTAAACCCTGCAGTGTGTGGCTGATGCTCTTGAGCTCGAGGCCAGACGTGACTTCGCAGCCATGCCTTAAGCCCTATTTCCTAGACCCTAATTAGTTCCTAAGCCCTAAGCCCTTAAAGCCTAAACCCTAAACCCTAATCCCTAAACCCTAAACCCGAATTCCTTTCTGAACCCCATGCCCCTAAACCCTGGAAAGCTGAACCTTAGACCCCGAAGAGCTCGTTGGAAGGTTTGTATTCAAGGTTTAGGGTTTAGGGATTGGGGTTTTGGGGTTCAGGATTTAAGGTTCAGGGTTTAGGGTTCAAGGTTCAGGGTTTAGAGTTTGGGTACAGAGGGTTGGGGGGTTGGGGCAGAGTCCGAGGTCCGAACCAGAACCTTAAACCCATTGGTCCCATGAGCCTTGAAACCCTGAATCTAAGGTTGAACCCATGGGCCCCTAACATGGGCCCTTAGGGGATTCTAGGGTCCCTGAAGGGTATATATAGGGTATATAGTAGGTATGTTAGGGTCCCAGGGTTAAGGCCCATACTAGCGCCCATGGGTTCTACCTACCTTAGATTGAAACCCTGAACCTGAAACACAAATCGCTAGCCTGTTCTCTGAACCTCACCAACTCCCTGAAGTCGGGCAGGTAACCCTCATGTATTTTTTTGTGCTACGGCACCCTAAACCCCAAGCCCTGATCTAAACCTTCGAAGACTTGAAAACACCCAACTTTTAGAGCCCTTTGAGCATCAGTTACCCGGGAAAGAAACCCTAAAACCATAAATCCCTAGACCCTAAACCCTAAACCCTATTAGGCCCTAAACCCTATTAGGCCCTAAACCCTAAACCCGAAAAGACCTGCTAAAGCCCTCCGTGCGGGCGGTCTCAGGGATCAGTTGCTGAGTTCACCTCGTGGGACAAGGCAGCTTTTAGGGTTTAGGGTTTAGGGTTTAGGGGTTTAGGGTTTAGGGTTTAGGGGTTTAGGGCTTATAGGTTTAGGGTTTAGGGTTCAACGTTCGGGATCTTAGGGTGTTGGGAGCTTCAACAACAAACCCTACTTGGAGGTTCATGGGTAGTTATAGGTAGGGATAGAAGTAGGGTAACTATAAATCTAACTCATATTAGGGGACTTATAACCCCAATAATAACTACCCATGAACCTCCAAGTAAACCCCAAACCCTAAACAAGCGCCACGGGTTTGCGAGTTTGGGAAGGGATAAGGGTTCTGGGTCGTCTGCGGCATGTCAGGGGACTTGTGAGTGAGCAGCAGGCTTTAGAGGACCCTAAGCCCTGAACCTGAACCCTGAACCCTGCCTATAGTCTCCATTGTAGTTCAATTTTTTTGGTTTAACCAACTCTATATTAAGGATCTTATAAGCTAACCCCAACAAGGTATTACAATGGAGACTATAGGTAAGTTTGAACCCTAGACCCTTTTTGCTTCAGAGATCTAAGCACTTGAGGGTTGAGAGATTACTTGTTGCGGTTTAGGGTTTAGGGTTCAGGGTTTAGGGTTGAGAGATTACTTGTTGACCGCTTTTTGCTGGGTTTTTCTTCGCCGTGAGTCCTTGAGTTTCAAATCCTCGAGACTGAAGGCCTTGCAACCGTCGCATCATCTAAGGGCTCAGGGTATAGTCGGTCTGAACACTACTTCGACCATGTCCCGAATATCCACTTCTAACCCTCCGTATCCTCGTTTGCTGTAGGATTTCCTCTTCAGATACTACTCTCGCAAAATCTCGAAAACCCTATAGCTAGGTCAGAAAGCCCGACAGCGTACGCGTATCCTCAAGCCGGAGCTTTCGCCACGAATCCCGACTTTCGAAACCGGATCAAAGACATGTGCGACGTAAGGCGTAACCCCAAGGCTCCAACATGTGAACCAGGCTGCACGTATGAAGGTGTAGGGTTTGGGGGTACGTAGCCCCCAAGAGCCCATGTGCCCAGAACAGACTACAACCGTATCCGTCCATCCATCCATGCATCCACCTATCCATGCGTCCATCTATGCAACTACCCATAGGCCCCATAGCAGTTCCTTTTTGTGGCTTATTTTTAGGATCCTATTAGGGAATCCCAGAAAGAAACTACGATGGGGCCTATGGGTATGCATGCATCTGTCTGTTGCACACGTTGCGGTCAGGAGATTGTCAACCCAGAAAGCCCAACACCCCTGCATTGACGAATTCACCCGAAGCGATACCCTGAAAGAAGATCCCTAAGAGCTGGACGCTGAACTGTGCCAGATATTCCGTACCCTAAATCCCTAAGCCCTCAAACCTGCACTTCTGAATACGAATCCCGCTGATCCTTACTTGATACTACTTAGCCCTACCCATAGGCCCCACAGTAGTTCTTTTTTGTGATTACCTATTAGGATCCTAAATATAAGCCACAAAAAGGAACTACTATGGGGCCTATGCGTAAACCCCAGACCCCGAACTCTAACTTAGCGGGTACTGAGTTATCTTGGTGGAGGGCCCTTCAATGAAAGGTAGAGGTCGATGGTGAGATCCAACTGGAGGACCTGTTTAGGCTTTTAGGGTTCAGGGCTTTGGGCTTTACGGAGGTTAGGGTTCAGGGGTTTAGGGAGTTTAGGGTTTAGGGGTTTAGGGTTAGGGGAGAGAAGGGTCCCTATATATGTACTTTGGGGCCAAAGCATATACTAGTTGGGCACATGGACCCTGGGTTTATGATTCATGCTTTTTACGTGTCTTAGGTTTCGACTATGGCCTTGAGTTCCATTACATGGGCCTTCTCGAGGTTCCATGGGGTTTTGGGCTTAGGGTTTGGGGCTTTCAGGTGACTTTACGAAATATACTACAACCATAAGGCAGGCTGCCAGGAGGGTATTGTTGCGAGATTGCGGTGGTGTAGCGCTATGGATTTGGTCCAGGGTTTACGGCTAATATGTGTAAATATTCTTGTTGGAGTAACTGTGATCATTAGCTGAGTCACTTGTTACTCCAGGGTCGGGGTTCTATGCTTCTTAGACATCAAAAGCCCGAAATGCCGGCTGCGGCCAGAGGCTTGTTCCCGGCTTCCGATGTGGGGGATGACTTGGTTTTGCAAGGCTTCAAGTCTTTACGTTTCTCCGCTGCCATGTCCGTGCCTGTGTGGTCGGTCCTGAGTGCCGTAGAAGGACGACTCAGGCCCTAATAATCCATGCATCGAATACCTGAACCCTAGACCCTAAACCCTAAACCCTAAACCCTAAACGCTTACGTTCAGGTGTTCGGTCGTCGGGCTTTGAGCTTACTTCATGATCATTGGCAGGTGTCGCGGGTAAATTTGGTCGTGTAGGGGGCCTGTTCTAAAGCAGGTCTCACTGTCAGCTTCTTTGAGCCCATGCTATGTTGTACTCAAAACCTTGTTCTACTTGCTAAGGCTCCTACACTGCGGTTGATGATATAAATCCTGCATTATAATAAGGAATATACCACACTTCTCATAGTTTAGGGTCCTCAAAGTATTGCAGGATTTATATCATCAACAGTATGCTGGACTTTCGAGGTGCAAGGTTGCTGGGAACCTCAACAAAAGTTTCAGACCCAAGCCGTGAAGCGTCTAGGGTTTAGGGTTTAGTGTGTAGGCCTAGGGGCTTAGGGTTCAGGGTTTAGGGCGCAGGGGCCCTGGCCCTGAACCATTACCAATTTCAATGCTCTTCCTTACGGCTCCTTAATATCATTACACCTTTAGGGTTCATGGCTTTGGGTTTGGGGTTTCCCGCAATCAAGGCACACACACACAAGATTCCTCTTTCAAGCTTTTGATTCAATGGCGCCCTAAACCCTGAACCCTAAACTCCCCTTTCAAGCTTTTGGCTCCATGGAGCTATGGTGAAACCCTAAACCCTAAACCCTAAACCCTAAACTCCCCTTTCAAGCTTTTGGCTTCATGGAGCTATGGTGAAACCGGTTTTAGGGTGTTGGGCTCTAGGCGCTGGGTTTTGGACTTTGAGGATTTTAGGGTTTAGGGGTTTAGGGGTTCAGGGTTTAGGATGTTTGGGGGTTTTAGGGGTTTAGGGGTCCAGGGTTTAGGGTTTTGGTGTTTTAGGGTTTAGGGGTTTAGGGTTAGGGTTTGATTGTTTTGAGCTGAGCCAGCTTTGCGGCGAGCCAACAGCGATTCGGCGGCGATGAGTTTCTCTTCGTCAAGAGGTCCATGCACCCATACAGTATATACCTGACCTAGGCCTCATAGTAAGTCCCTATATAGGTGCGAAGTATAAACCCAAAAGTTGGAAACCCGATAGCCTCAATCCTTAAAAGTAAATGTCCTTAATCCGGTTCCAACCTTTTGGGGGCCCTAAACCCTAAACCCTAAACCCTAAACCCTAAGCCCTAAACCCTAAACCCTAAACCCTATAAACCCTAAACCCTAAACCCTAAACCCTTACTGTACATGGACCCTTCGGGTTCCTCACCCAACCCGAAACTTGAACCTCCAACCCTCAGATGATCGGCAAGCCCGAAGAAGCCCTAAAGCCAAGACCATCTGACCCAAAATAGATGCCTTAATACATGCAAAACAGTCTTAGCGTTCTTCTTGCGATAAAGCTGCCAGTGTGCGTTATAGTTTAACGTTCGTCCGCAAACCCTATTCTACACATTGAGGCCCCTGCAGTAAGCAACCTGCACCCAAAAAGCTCTCAAGACTCTCCGAAGCCGGTCTAGGTTTGAGGTTGCACGGTCCTAGAACCTAAGTTCCGTAAGGCCCTTGTCGCTATGAGCCCAGTTCGTCAAAACAAAGGCAGTCGGCCCCTCAGACTCGAAACTCTAAACCCCCAAAACCGCAAACAGATTCTGAACCCTAAACACTAAACATCTGGTCGGCAGCATCCCATCAAAACTCAGAGGCCTGCAATCAACCGAAAAGCACCCCGAGATGGTCAGCCCTGCATCCTCCCAGCGCGTACTTGGCGTTTAAGGTTCAAGGCCAAGGCTTAGAGCTCCAGGAATTCGGAAACCTAAACGGGCTCAGAGTTCTACCGGTGAGCATGGAACGATGCCTTCCCAAAGTTAAGCGAATTACACATCTTGACAAGTTCACAACTGTCCAAAACCCACATTAGCGCTACATGGTCAGTGCGAAAGCCGCCTTCGATTTTGACATTGATTTAATTGACATGCCAGGAGCCTTGCATCAAGCATAGCCTTCTACTTCTGCATGTTCGGAGTATCAAGTTTGACAGTGAAGGCTTTGTCAGCATCATCCAATTTCGCTGTCATGGGTGCTAGGGACGAACCGCGCTATTACAACTAGTTTTTGAAAAACAGCTTCGAGGCGAGTGTTACAAAACCACAACCCATGGACCCTCAGCTCCCCAGGCTACAGTTCGAAGCAAACTTGATGTTCGGCTGCTGGTAGGTTCTTAAGACTAAACATAATCAGGATTTAAGCCTTCCTCCAGCATAGGCCGTAAAGCATCACCATAAAGCCAGCGCAACCTTCTAGATTTCTGATTTATACTACTGGCCCCACAAAGCCCGACTCTGGTCATTAACGCGCTGCTGTAAGCCCCCGATTCGTCCGAACAGACCCAAACTAACCACCTTGGATCCAGCGCCAATGAGACCCTTGAAGCAAAAGCTATAAACCATAAACTTACGCCGTAGAATCTCCATAGGAGTTGGTGAAACATCTCGAAGCAAAACTTGGCGGTGAGCTTCGGCGGCTGCATCCGGCAGGCAACGACAAGGCTCCATGCGATGGCTTCGGGGTTGCAAATCTTGAGGAGAATGAGGAACCACCCCAGGGAGGTTCCTCTATGGTGCACATCATCAGGTGCGCGTAGATTTCGTTGAGATTCTTGTGCGGGCAAACAGGTCCAGGAGTCATTTTTTTCAGAGCTCGTTGCTTTGATCTGGTCGTTGAAGGAGCCATTACACTTGCTACCAAATCCGACCAACAGTGACAGGCCTATGGACGTGCAGGGCGCACTACTTACGTTATCACCAAACCCAGTGCGTATATACATATCCCAACATATGGGACCGGTGTGGAATAGACATTATGTTGGTTTGAAACACTTTCAGGTGCGTAGCCTGTGTTATAAGTCACGAAACCTACCTAGTCCACCAAAATGAACACCAGGGCCGATCGAATAATCCTCCTGAGCCATTTTGGCGGACTTCAAGTTGAAGATGGCTTCTGGAAGGTTTCGGGGTTTAGAGCTAAGAACTCTGAGCCCGGCCACCAATCAATGGAATCCTGCGTCAGGTTGCTCTCTACGACAGATCCCAGGACTGTGTGCAGCAAGATTTTTCGGGGCTTTCTTTGTTAATTTGGTTCAAGGTCTTTGAAGTGGACATGTCAGAAGTTGAGGGCTCAGGATTTCGGGATTTTGGTGTCTATAGCTCCTGGGGTTTGGCCGGTTTTGGCGTTCAGGAGCGTTCTACTTAGGGCCTTCTGTCGTACAAGCGCTGCCGAAATCCATGTTACATTAGCAGGCCTGCACTTCCGTTATGCAGAATTGGCTTCTCAGATGTTGGGGCAATGCTGTGGGGCTTCAGATTTTGTTCTCAGCCCTCAGGGCCCATGTGCCTTTAAAGTATGTATTGAGGCTGTCGAGTATCCATACAGGTTGAGCTTAAACTTAGGCCTTAGTACCATTATGTATTATGGGGGGCCTGAATAATTACCTATGCCATTTTGGGTGGTTCCTTGTTATAACTATAGTATAATGGGCCCCAAAACCCAAATGATTAAGGCCCCTGCCCTACAGTATGCACATGATTGGGCAAACGCCCAGGGAAAGCATGACAAACCTATTGAGGAACATCCTTCCCTACCTATCTGGGAGTTCCAGAAAAGTCATTCGGGACACCGAGGAAGGTATGATAAAGTAGAATCTTTACTGCAAGCACACCTAAGCAACACCAAACCCTGAACCCTAATTCAAGAATATTCAAGAATGCCTCATGCTGTCTTTTTCCCCTTTAGTGCAGGCCCAGATGCTGAACTGGAAGATTGAAATTTCTGGGGGCCAGGCGGGCGACCGGTCCAATAGGTTTAACAGGCTGGGTTTGACTAGCGTTTCGGGGTATGTTTTGGAAGTTCAGGGTATGTCCTAAACTCCAAACCCTCAATCCTTCAGCCTCTAAAGTCGTCAGCTGTCGACCGCTGGGTTTGCAGTAGACGTGGCCGGGATGTTTTGTTGGAGTTGCAGTAGAAACCGGAGCATCGAAGAAGTAAGGGAACCTAAGCAGTAAAGCATAGTAAACCCTTGATATCAGGATCCTTCATCTACGTGCATAGAACCTCCTAGGGGGGAGCCCTTGATTTCAACACGTCGCATAACTGCGAGCGCGAGACGTTGGTTTGCTGCTTTCCATCCCTGCAGTTAGTGTGTAGACGCGTACTATAGGGGCCTAAACAATTACCTATACTATTTTGGGGGTTCCTTAGAATCTAGTTATAGTTATAGTATAATGGGCCCCAAAACCCTATTATAATTATTAAGGCCCCTATTTTAATATTTGACTTGGGCTCCACTGCCCGTGGTTCACGGTTCGGGGCTAACTCACAATGTTCAGCCTGGGATTCAGGACCTGTGGGTGTGACAGGTACGGGTTGCAAGGTCTCGCACGTTATATCTTGGAATAATGATATGCACACCAAGAACACTATCAATGTTTGTTATCATTGTTTATGTTGTTTATGTGTATATTAACGGCTCAAGTAGTTTTCGTAATTTCTATGATTATTAATATGTTGTACTGTTATTTTATCATCACGGTTGCTTTTTATACTAACCCATCATCATTTATTCGGTGATGTGTCCCAAGGTGAAGACTCCTTCTGCTATTGCTACTCCTTTCACTACCACCACGACAACGAAAACTCATACCGTCTGCAACTTACCACTTGCTACTTGGTACTACTACCACCACCACCACCACCACCACCACCACGACTACTACTACTACTACTACTACTACTACTACTGCTACTACGACGACGACGACGATAACTACTACAACAGCATCAGGAATAGGAGCAGAGGTAGCAGGCGTCGCGATAAGGATGAGACGATGGTGATTGTTCAGCAATGAGTGGCCGAATCCGTGGGCGAACAAGCGGCAGTAGCGCTGTTTCAAGTCGCCTGAAGTGTGAATTGCCCTAAGGGACCATGTAAATAGTACATATGTATGTACAAGTATATATATATATATATTGGTTTTAATAGTCCCCACATAGGTAGGGCCAAAGTCTGCACTATTTGGGTAGATGGACCCTTCTGGTTGCAGCACTGAGATAGTGGCCGCCGCCTGTGAAGCCGTTTTGCCAGGATCACAGTCGCCGGAACAACTCCAAAGCTTCCAGTCGTAGTATTCAGGTTTTAGGGACTATAGGTTTAGGGTTTAGGTTTAGGTTCCAAGTTTTAGGGATTGGGTTTAGGGTTCAAGGTTTCACCGTCGAGTCCTGTGCTTCTCACCTATCGTAATTCCTGCCATGTTGTCTGGTGGACGCCGCTTGGCCTTGCGGGGCGTTCCTCCAGCCGCCGTGTTTTGCCCAGGGCTTCGTGTATTTCCGACCGCTGGGTTTAGCTCTGGAGCTGCGAAGGCCGGAGCAACTGATTCGAGTACCGTTTGAGGACATGCCTGTTTCTGAGGTTCGTGCAAAGGCGAGAACAAGCTAAACAAACACATGTTCAAACCAGTTCCCGGAAGAAGCACCATTACTGTGGAAAGTGTCTGCGCCAACATTGAAAGATTGCCAGTGGCAGCAGTCCCAAAATCAACCTAAGGAACGGAAGTGGTGCTTTGAAGAATGAATGACTTCCATACTATTGTTCGGGCTCCTGGTGACTAGTGACATTGGTACCATAAAATGCTCCAAATGTACGGAAGCAGCAGCCTGTGGGGTCTCAGGGCTACATTCACCCAGAGAGCTCAACACTCCTTCAGGAAGGAATGTCTCTTAGGGTTTAATTTATATAGTTGTGCACCATACTTAAGCAAAGAAACCGACAGAGATGACTCGTTGTTATTTCGGGAATGGAGCTGTGAAGGGCATGATGAGCAACAGAAGGTTGCTAGCAGAACTCTCCTCAAGAGTTCAGGTGCCCACATGGAGTCTTACCAGTTACGTCCAGTTACCGTACTACAGGCGCATACTGTAGGGGCCTTAAATAATTAGAATACTGTTTTGTAGGTATATTATACTATATCTATCTGGGTCCTTGTAGGCTACAAATTTACACTTTTGTTATTCTAAAACAGTGATCATTTTTAATATAGGCCCGACAAAGAACCAGTTATAGTAAGGAGCCCTCCAAACCCTATTCTACATATTAAGGCCTCTA